TGCCCCGGATTTATTGCTTTATTAGTACTTTCAAGTTTTCTTTATGAATGTAATAAAAAGTAACTTCAATCAGTCAAAATTATTTACTAAACTATCTTTCTAATTATATAGTAGTCAATTTTTTTTTATATTTTTCTATAATTAAAATATTAACAACATTTTATGGTTTTTAATTATTTTTATCTTGTTTTTTTCAGATATTTCCTGAGTAGCAGTTGGCTTTTTCTGGAATGCGGGCGTATCAAGATTATGACCAATTTTTGTTTTTGTAACCCACGAACGAATGAAGACGAAAACTTTTGGTTTTGATTTTGATTTATGTTATTTAAATTTGTGAGCAACATTATGTATGTATTATGCGACGTTATGTAGTGGCATAATTTTTATTGTTATGAATTTTTATTTATGTATTGCTATGAATGGAACAATATTATTAATTTTCATTATTTGTCAATTTTTGTTTATGTACGTATTTATATTATTCTGTAATTTTTCGATTTTTTTATAGTTATTTTTTATCTAATACAGGTTATTTTAATTTTTTTAATAATTTTTCAGCAGGTTTTTTTTTTTTTGAGACGGGAGAAGAACCCGTCGCAAAAAACAATAATAGGCTTTTGCGACGGCACCAACACAGTCGCAAAAGCTGTGCAATTGGAATTTACAAGACACCTTTAGCGACGGTAACCGTTGCCATCGCCAATACTTATAAGATGCCAGAGTTTTAGCGACGGTAATGTTGCCGTCTCAAAAACTCACTTTTAGCGACGGGAATTACGTGCCGTCGTAAAAACTGATTTTTTTTCCATTATTGGCGACAGGAAAAGTGCCGTCGCAAAAAACACACCTTACCGTCGCAGAAACTAATGGCGACGGTACTTACCGTTGCTAAAGCTCTTTTGCAACCCCATTTGTCGCGACCCCCTCTTACCGTCGCAAAAAGTATTAGCGACGGCTTCCGGGGCATTTGCGACGGCTCTTTACCGTCGCAAAAAACGCATTTTTTTGTAGTGATATATTATACACAACCTATCATAAAAATATTTAATTTTATTATAAAATTTTGCAATATCAATCATAAAATGAGTAATTTTGTCACAAATTGGGAAAATAAAATGTCTAAAATTTTATGATTGATGGTGTAAAAGTTTATGACATGTTTTTATTATGTCAATTTATAACAAGATAACGAATTTTCTAATTAATATTATAAATTTTGTAATAAAATTATACATTTTTAGGTTACATATAGGATGCACAACGGAAAATTTTCCCATTAATAAGCGTCCTACATTGCGTCATGTGAAATGCAAGAGCCGGAAAGGTTCCCCAACGACAATGTACTGGACTTCTATGAGGAAAAGTTATTGGTTAATCTTGGCATGCTACATGGTCATATCCCGTAATTTATTATATTTATTTATATTTTTTAATTATTCAACATAAATTTGTATATCTTATTTTATCTATCAATCATAATATTATTGAGACATCACGTAATGACATCACAAACCACTCAATAACTTCTCTTATATGAGAGCAGTATAATCTATGCGGCAAATCTTTTTGTACACACCCCTATTGGATGTTGTGTAACATATATAGTACTTTAATCATCTCTATTTTACATATGTGATGGAATATATTAAAAGACTAAATTGACATTAATCAAATGTTAAGAATCAAAAGTAACACAAATTCCATGTTTTAGACACCAAAAATATAATTAAGCCACTCAAAATTGTAAGGAGAACAGTCAATTTCTTGAGATATTATTGCATGTGATTAGTACATGCAGCAAGTAATTTCTAAGCATTTTAGGGCATATCCAAGTAATCAACTTTTAAACTGTTATGTGTTAATTCTCTTGTCAAATTACAGTATTGCTAATTATTATTGCCAAACAATTGGCATAAAGTTCAACAATTGTTACATTTGTCATCTCACACTTTATCTTAACCTCCCTAATGATTAAGAGCCCACCGTCATATGACATTTGTATTTGGCAGTGCACAAGGAAATTTAAAAAAAAAAAATAAAAAATTGTATTGACATCATTAATTTATAATAGAATTGTCATATTTTAATATGAGAATCCTAGTTCCAAATATCGGCCGGTACGTACCGATTCATACCAGAAAATCAGACCACTGGTTCGGATATAGACCGGTATAGCGAGAAGAATGAAATTCGCAGCCGTAGCGGCCGAGTCCCGGTACGTAGCGGCCTGAATCGGATACACAGGGCGATACAGGCCGGTTGTCACCAGTACGGGTAAAAATCAGCGCAGAAAACTGCTCGTGGCTCCGATGCTGTTTTTGGTTTTGGATTGCTAGTCTTCGTTAAAGTGAGAGTGCTACTTTGAGGTTCATGAGGAGGTCGTGCTGTCCTTCAGTGGCTTCCGACGTGCTTCAGAATGCTTCTCTGGTCGTGAGCCGTTGAGTGCAGCTTTGAGGCTACAAGAAGTTAGGTATGATACAGACATGGGGCACAGTGTATATATTTTCTGTTTATATTTTATAAATGTATATTCATTGTTTTGGGCCAAGAAATTTTGGTGAAGATGGTGTGTTGTTTTGAGTAATCTGGCCCCATGTGTTTCTTTAACCAACTCATGGATCTACTTGGTGGTGAACTGCTGTGGATTTTTTTAAAATTGTAGATAATTAAAATCTATAATTGAGACTAAAATAAATATATATTATTTAGCTAAAAATGAGTCAAAAGTATTCATACATATCAAAATTTTGATTAAAATGTGACAAATTAAGGCTAAAAGAATCCAAAAAATGTATAAAATTGAGTTTTAGAGGATTGCTAATGATTTTTAAAATTTCACGACTGTGACACCCGATTCCCGATATGTAACGGCCGATACTACCGATACCGATACCGATACTTCGCAATCGATACCGTTACGTTACCCGATACCGCGATTTAGAACTATGATGAGAATATGATAATGTAGCTTCTAAAAAATGATAATAACCACTGGGGTTGCTCTTATTTGTGACACTTGAACAATTCAGGTTACACCAGAATTGTGGCACCCATGATATGGACATGGATATTTATTGTTATTACAAATTTAAAATAAAACTAGTAGAAGCTCTAATACAAGTTTTTAATAACAAATAAAATGAAAGGAATTACAAACAAATTAACACCACCAAGTTTATTTCTGGCCAAGTGATCTGTAGAGAGTAAATAATTTTTGTTCAAAGAGGGGAATTCAGAGCTAAGAACGCTGCATGCCATCCAGCTTGTGTTGGATGATACATGTCCCAAAAGAATGCATTTTCGGGGTTTTCACACACTGTGTACAGCTTTTCTCCTTTGTCATCGATGTCACCACATGAATACTCACTGCTTATACCTAAACAACATGGCTTCAATGGAGTCTCAAACTTCACACTTCCTGCACAGGACATAATACAAGTAGATATATTATATAAATGGATATGGTTTTGATTTTACAAAAATATATTTTTGGTCCTCTGATTGTAAGAGTAACCCCTTACAACTTAATTCAAATTGCAATGTCGCCTCCTCTCCATTGCATGTTAATGAGGCTGACAAAAATTAGCATTTGAGGGGTACTAATGAGGTTGGAATATTGATTTTATATTTTTGTAAGAACACAATTAAAAGTAGAAGGATTAAAGTAAGATTAATTTATACAAGTGTAGAAGTGCTAATAGAATATACCCAGTTATAATTTTTCTTTGCACCCACTATATGCATTGTAAACTTTGTACCTTTTCAATCTTAAAGAGAATGTTTGTCGAGTTAAGATAATTGATTTTACATATTTGCCCTCAAAAAAATGCCACACGTGACTCAAATGCCAATTATAATTAGACTTACATATCAATTATAATTAGACTTCCATTACAAAGAGTTAGGTCTTAGTTAATTGGTTCTTAAACAATTTAGGAATAAAAGCATTTTCTGTTTCAATAACGTCAAATTGGCAAAAGTATTACAATATAATTTGTTTTAAAATATAAAAATTGACGGTTAGAAAGAATTTTTTTTTGTATAATTGGATGTCTAGACTAGTTTGCATATATCTCAAAATCCCAGACCTTGAAGTTAAAGATCCGACAAACTTTCAGTGATCTTTTAAGATGACTCGAACTCAAAGGCCTTAGATCTTATCGTTAGATCTTTACCGCTTAGCCAACTCCTTGGAGTCGATGGTTACAAATAAAAATTATGAGACAAAAAGCAAAAAAGAAAGAGTAAATCACCTGATTTGTTCTGGAGTACTGAAATGAAAGAGTCATAAAGATCAAGGATGACAAATGGGGAGTCATTGGTGCCATTGTTGAGGTTTGCCACAGCTTCAGTGAGTAAGCGGTTGTGATAAGTGGCAGCTTTGTTGTCAGTATCATTGCATTGTTGGAAAGAATTTTGAATGGTGCGGCCAGGGAGACATCCAAGGGGCTGCAGAGCTGCTACTGCTACTTTTTTTACTCCCGTCCCATGAATGCGTTCCAAGTTCGTCTTAAGTTGATTCACTACCAGATTTATGAATGTTTCCAAATCCTAGGCACACAAATAGAGTCCAGCACAACTAATCAAGCAAAGCATAATATTGTTGAAAGATGGTTGAAACCACTAAAAGAGGAGCACAACTCATTAGTGATAGTTTAGTGGTGCAAAATTATTATAGAATCAATCTATTTTTTTATTTTATTTTTTATTTATAGATAATATATACAAGAGAAGATGCAAAATTAAGGAATTGAATTATTGAACTGATGCCATGATGGGCCCAAAGGCCGACTCAACAGTGTACGAATATAGAACTGGACACATTTAATGTGTTAATGTTAAAAAAGTAATTTTCTTTTTAGTGAGTTTTAAAAAAATTACTAAATACAAAAAAAAATCAAAACAAACTGCAAATTCAACTTTGAAATTTTTGTAGGGAACTTCTTGAAAATTGGCCAATTTTTTATTTTTGTTATTTTAAAGATTTTCTAGTATAGAAGGATTTTAGTAAATAATTTTGATAATAAATAAATAAATAAAATTCACTAGCTAGACAAAAAGTCCAACAATGTTTTTTTTAAAAAGCATTTGTCATAAACAGTTCTATTCTGTTCCTAGCATTAATCAGATATTGGAATTTGCATCAGAAAAACAGTCATATTTCTGTTCCTAGCATTATTCTTGACTTTTCTCATTGTTTGTTGGGATTTGTGGCTAGCTAGAAACTCATCATCTTCGAGCAAGGTCGAGTGAACTGGGAAAAACTCATCGACACGATAAAGATCCATGTTGCCTTTTGGGTAGAAATTAAAACAGGATTTCCGGGCTTCTCAATTTATGATTTTTTGATGCAAATTGATGTGGTTAGAAGGATCAAATCAAAGAAGAAGCAAAAGTGTTATCTAAGACCTAGGAATTAGTGTCTGTTGCTGTTCTTTTTTTTTTATTATGCATTTAGTCAGTTTCTTGCTTTCTTTCCCAGTAGTGTTGTTGTTGGGGTTTGCACATGATTGCGCTTATTTTTGGGTGCTAATCATAGTTTTAAATTGCGGTATCGGATAACGTAACGGTATTGATCGTGGAGTATCGGTATCGGTAGTATCGACCGATACGTATCGGGTATCGGGCGTCGCGACTGTGAAATTTCAAAAATTATTAGCAATCTATCTAAAACTCAATTTTATACATTTTTTTGACACTTTTAACCTTAATTTATCACATTTTAATCAAAATTTTGATATATAGAGACACTACTCATCATAATGTTAGATAATTTTTCGAACAAAATGATTAAATGGGAAAAATATGATTCAAAATTTGATGCACATAATGTTGGACTCTGCAAAGAAACTAATCAACACATAGGAGATTGAAATAGAAAAACAAAGTGGGACAACAAATATAAAGGTTGATAGGGATTTGCAGAGCTTTACTTCAATATATATAAATGCTCCTAATATATAAATATTTGAAGAATCATAAATATATATTAAAATATATCTCATTTCCATCCCATACCATAATATAAACAAAAAATAACTACAGAACAAATAGAAAAAAAGAAAAAAAAAACAAATTATAAACTAAACACAACAATTTAATAAGCAAAAGCATGACTTATGATGAGAATCACACTATAATAGAGCAAAAGCAGAAGGCAGTGGATGGTTCTAGATCATGTGCATCATCTGATAAGGTTGAGGAGTAGCATATAATATTTCATGTAAAGTTGTTACAACTGTAGATGGTTAGGGGTTAATTGCAGAATTAGTTCGATAGTTAGATATAACTTAGGTGTATGTCATATCTTGAATAAGATATAAATATACTACTCTGTACTACAGGTTATTCAATCAATAAAGAAATGCTTCTTCTTTTTCAATTTTGCTTTATGGTATCGGAGCCATAGCTCCAACGAGCATAGATCTTGTGAAGGCTCTTTAATGGCTGCCATGGAGTCCTTGTCTTCATCTCTTCCCCGTAATCTTACTCTTCTGATTTCAACGAAGAAGCTTGAAATCGGTGATGGCTTTGCTCCATTTTCAGTCGTACCGAACTGTATCAGAACTATATCGCTAACGTATCGGATTCAGGCCGATACGTATCGGGAATCGGCCGCTACGGACGTGAAATTCATTCTCACCGGTATACCGGTGAGTATCCGACTTAACACTCCAATTTTCTGATAGGAACCGGCCGATACGACACGTACCGGCCGATATTTAGAACCTTGCTGCCAACCTAATTGATATTCATCTACCAAGCCATGAGGCATATCTCCCCCAGCCTATTCTATGTAACCTCTTTTTCAATTTAATAAAATAATATCTTTGTCAATCAATAAAAAAAATTTGATTGCTATCATCTTTGCCTACCAACTCCAGAGGTTGCTGTCATTTTTGTCCCTACGTTAACTAGGATCCAAATTTGGCAGCAGACGGTTTCCCAAAAGACCAAAACAGAAGTCAGCATGTCACCATCATATAAAATTAGAAAATAATAAATATTATACTGTAGAAAGATTTTTTTTTATTTTTTATTTTTTATAATTATCTTTGTAAGCTTTTCCATATCTAAAAAATAATGAAACTTATTATTAAGCTTTAAATATGATAAATTTTAAATGTTTACATGATGTTTGTTGTGCAAGTCTACATAAAAATGAAAAGTCGGTGAAATTCATCTACAATTGTATTACACAAAATAAAGTTACAAAAATATTCACAAAAATAAATAAAAATAAATTCAATATGGCCCTAGTAGGCATTCTTCTAGGTGTCGTCTCCACTCCACCTAATGAATATTAGGTCACATGCTAATTTTTCGGTTCAAATTTATTTAGGCACCTTTTTATGCATTATACATTATTGATTTCATGTTTTTTTTCAAGTAGGAAAAGGAGATTATGTAAAATATATTCATAAGAATTAAACAAACAATAACATATAATACATTTAAGAAGAAATACAAATAATAAATGACGAACACCTTCTAATAATTTTGAACAGTTGTTTAATGTGACAATTATTAAACGTGAAAGAACTTTATAAAAAAAAAAAAGCAAAGGTGTAACACTAAATAAGATGTAAATTAATATGTACCGTTTGAGAGCCGCCTTTAGCGACGTATGCACTGTAGTCATTGCCAGAAAGAGTGACTAGTGCCAAAGAGGACTGCAAGTCTGATGTGTTGTAGATAGGAGAACCATCATTGATAAGGCTTTGGAAAATGTCAATCTGTGTTGTCATGTTTGGTCCCGGAAGCAATGTTTTGAACACACCAGTCCCTCCATATGCAAAATTTATCCCATATTGCACATGATCTGGTTCATAGTTTGTCCATCTGTATGCAATCGGAGTCTTTAATCCCAGAGACTTAGCTGCATACATATATTTTCACACGACCAAAGGTTAAGCAATACCCAGAGAACAAGAAAAGTTGTGCGTATAGTTCATTATCATAATTTGTTAGGAATTTACAGAAAATCTGATTAAGTGTAAACCACATGACACGTTATTTAAATTTGTCAGGCTATAATGTCATTATTTTGTGATTCTATTCGTACTTTGTCACCAAGATAAGAGAAATTCTAAAGCAATTAATAATGGGTTTTATTATCTTAAAATTTTAATAAATATGTCTATGTATTTTACACATTATATGATTTTTTGTAAATTTTTAATAAAATCTTAATTAAGAAAAAAAAAGTTATCTGTTAAGTTTTGAAATTTAGAGAAAAAACGTACAAATAAGACATAATTTAAAGAGATTTACTGTAATTTATAAAAATAATATTCATCTAAATTGCCGTGTTTTTATTTTAAATAAAAGGTTATATCATCACCAGAATTCGGAACAAAATTTATGCTTTTATTCCGTTACCCTTTTTAATCATAGTGATGGTAAAAAAAGTTACCCTTTTTAATCATAGTGATGGTAAAAAAGTGATCAGATAATGTATAAGAAATATATATATATATATATATATATATATATAAGTGATTATTTTATCATCAACACAAGTTATTTTCTATAATAGCAAACTCTCTGCCACATGATAAACTTAATTTTTCAAATATAAAAATCAAATGCAATACAATTTAATAATTACCACATTTTGGAGAGTGTACTATTCACACATGACATACCTTCTTATTTAATAACTAGTAGTATGACCGAATGTTATTGGGGCAATATAGGGTGAGATTTTTTTACAAATTAATATTTAATGATAAAAAATAAAGAGTAAATTATATTGTTAGTTCTTATATTTTGGTTCTTATCTCATTTTGATCTATATAATTTTAATTAGTTTTATTTTGATCCTAATTTTATAATTTTAATTTGATCGAATTGATTACAATTTTTAGTATTATTTGATAAAAAAATGCACACATAAGCCGTATGTGTTGGGCTTTTAAAGGTAAGATTATAAACTTATTCAATTTAATGAGTTAATCATAACCAACTTAGTGACTAATTTTATTTTATTTTTTTTCAAAAACACTAATCGACATTATCAATTGAATGAAATTGACACAAAATCTACATTTAAGAGTTAAAATCGAACTAATTAAAATAACATGGACCGAAAATAGTACAAATAACAAAATATAGGGATTATGCTAGGGACTCCAAATATTTTATTAATTGTTCTACCAAATGTCTTATATGGGTGCAGGACCCACACGATGTGAGTTCTATGTGAGTCCTGCACCCATATGAAACATTTGATGAAACATTTGATAAAACATTTGAAATCTCTAACATTACTCTATTTCTTATTCAACTTCTCAATAATAAACATTTTTACCATTTATTTAAAGATAATTTTATTTTATAAATTGCAAACAGAAATTGAGTTATATAAATTTACACGTATTTTGAGAAATAGAAAAAAAAAATCAAATCAAACATTATAAGAAGCCTAATAAATCCTACCAAATAAGAGGTTTACTTGTTTTGATGGCAAGTGGTCATTGATAGATGGTAATCCGTTCCATTATTATATTATTTAATAATGAATGTAATGATGCATATTTTTTTTTTAATTTCAAATAATTATAAATTCATATTCATAATTCATACCCATTAAATATAAAATGGAAACCAATAGACGGGAAAATAAATAATTTTTTTTGGCAAAAATTAAGAATAACAACTCACACACATCACTTGAAAATATATATATATATATATATACTCATTACATCATGTTGACAAAAATAGAAAGAGAGTGACCCACCACCAACCACCTACTATACTTGGATCATCATAGTATAAGCAATGAAAACCTACATGCTTGAGAAAAGCAAATTAATGACCTTATCATAATCTGAAAGAAAAAGATGTAGGAATGGGAAGTCTCAAAACTGAGAGATCATTTTGGAAGGAAGAACTAGTCCATATCAGAAGACTTTGCTGAAAAATTGCTCCGTTGATATTATTGCCTCTTGAGTTTATTATGTTTGGTGTTTTATTGCTTTGTTTAGTTGCACAAGAAGTCTTGAGAATTAGGTGTGTAACTTTGTACTTTGGGTATTTTCATTTTAATGTTTTTGCTGGTTTGTCTTTTCAACTTTGTTTGGCTTGGTTTGGGATTCTCATTTCATGTGCCTGATGCCTATGTTAATGTGCTTCTTTAAGGTATTATGATGTTGCCCAAAACTTTTCTTATTCATGTCATTTGTTATATTGCCTGTACTACATAATTCATTAATAAATTTTATTTTGTCGATTAAAGAAAATTGAAATGTATATATCTATATATATATTAACAGCATGAAATTAGAAGTACAGGAAGATGACATGCATCGAGAGAGATTCGGAAAGTACAAAATACCCCTACTACTGCTACTCACATCCATACAACCAACCCCTTGGCCTCACAATTTTTTTTAAACAAAAAGTTAAGAAGAACTTAACTGAAAAAAGAATACTTAAATCCCCACAAAATTACCCACAAAATACTTGCCTGTACTACATAATTCATTAATAAATTTTATTTTGTCGATTAAAGAAAATTGAAATGTATATATCTATATATATATAAACTATTTAACTGCTTGAAATTTATCTTTTCTTTTTGATTTTTTCTTTTCTTTTTAAATAATTTATTAATGGTCACCCATATCTTGAGTGAATATTTTTTTTCATAATTACGCAAACATTATTGGTCAATTATGCAATAAATTTTTTCGTAATTACGCAAACATTTTTAATTAATTATGAAACATAAATCTTTTATTTTTTAACAAATGACAAATACACTCATAAGATTTGTTTAAAATATAAATTGATCTTATAATATTAAAAATTACAACTATCGTTTATTAAAAAATTTAATTTAACACAATATCCAAGGGAAAAAAAAAATCTCCTATGCGATAATAAATTATCAAAATTGTTTATTGAAAAAAAGTTCTCATATCATTAAAAATTGGTAATTGACTTAATGATTTATTTATTAACAAAATGGTTAACTGAAAAACATTTTTCATACTATTAAAAATTGGTAATTTAATTAATGATTTAATTATTAATAAAATTGATTATTTGTTATACAAATATGATTTGTATATTAATAAAATTAGTTATTTATATATATGGCTTCGTTTGGCATAAAGGGTTTGGGCTAAGATAGCTATAAAAAGGCAAAATAAGCTAAAAAAACTAATAAGATAAAATGTCACATTAAAATCATAATCATTTCATTTTTTCTCTAACAAAAGTCTAAAAAAAAAAATCAAAAAGCCCCTTCCAAACGAGGCTTTTTGGCCCCAAACTAGGCCTCGTTTCGGAACAGACTATTTCAATAACTTTTTAGCTTCTTGACTAAAATATGAGATAAAAAAATTAGTATATTTGGAATATTTTTTGACTTTTTAAGAAAACATGCACAAAAAGTGGGAAAAAAAAGAGAGAATCTTTGACTTTTTATATAGGTTGTGACTTTTTGATTTTTTTAATGACTTTTTAGCTTTTAGGCTAAAAAGTAATGTTGTCAAACGATAGCCAAAAAGTCAAAAAACCAGCTCACATTCCAAACGAAGGTTGTATGTATTTTTTCTGATTCTTTATTAGTTCAGTGAATTATTTTAATGATTTTTTTAATATAGGAGAATTATCTTAATATTTGTTTTATATTTATATGTTGAAAAAAGTTACACACATAATTTTTTTTTTATTTTATAAATTTGAAAAAATTGTTAAAAATTCATAAATTCATCTAAAATAATACGATAATAAAATTGGAGTTTATGCCATTTTGTGCATAACAAAACAAAAAAAAATAATACATATTATACCACGTAAATCTATTATATATAATAATTTGTTCAATTCAATTTTATAAAATAATGATTTAACTTTTAAAATATTATCAAAATATAATATTTAAATATACTATAATAATAGCAGTGCCTGACGTCGGCCTTTCAAAACTAATATATACATAGAGAGAGAAAAATGGTGTTGGGTGTACTGTACCAATGTAATCAGTGAGGACACGACCCGATGAGAAACGGCCGGTTGGTTTTCCAGGAAAGGTAATACCATAGGGGAACTTCCAAGAACTAGAGTTTTTTATCCTGGTGTTTCCTGTATCTGCATACGAGTCCCCGAATACGAACAGCTTCGTTGGCTGAAAACCATACAGACCATGGTGGAGCTGGTAGTGATGGTGATGAGAAGAACCTTGCACACTTTGATTCCCTGTATACATACATACATGCAAATACACATGCATAAACATATATACAAGTGAGAGCAGTTGGCTAATTAACTCTGCAATTGAAAGAGAAATAATAAGCAATGATTGCTTTACCTGTGAGAAGGGAAAAGAGGAAGAAACAAAGGGAGAAGAAAAAGAGGTTTTGTGTCTCCATGAGAGAGAGAGAGAGAGAGAGGATGGAGGAGAGGACTGATATTAGAATCACAAGGCTTGGGGGTTATATAGGGTTGTGCCTTCTCTCTGTTTAAAAATTATTAGTTTAAATAATTAATAATAAAAATAAATAATAAATAATTTAATATTATAATATGTATATTGTTTAAGTGATCACTATATTTTTAATAAAACTTAATATTTTAGATTCAAAATTTTTTTATACTGTGTATAATAAATTTTTTATTTTTTTTATTTTAGCATAGCATATATAAAGGTGTCACCACGTGACATAAAGAGAAGAAGATTTTACTAAACTAATTTAAATTTTTATTTAATAATAATATAGATATAAATAAATAGACAGATGTGCAAAAGGAATTGTTTCCGTTCTAAACTTATAATTAAGGAAAGATTTAATAGATATAAATAGATAGGTAGATGTGCAAAAGGAATTGTCTCCATTCTAAACTTATAATTAAGGGAAATTTTATTATTAAAGGGTTTATAATAACAAAAAGCCTATTATTTCAGAAAAAATGTGCAAATAATTATCAAGAATTGAGATCTATGGTCCATAACTTTTGCCGTGGGGTCGTCCACCTTCAAGTTTGAAACAAAATTTTGAGTTTTTTTTTGGGGGGGAACTTTTGAGTTTTTTTTTGGGGGGTGTTGTCGGTCATGATAGTTCCTTTATATAATAATTTTTAAAAATTTAAAATAATAATAAATTTTTATAATTATTTTACCATTTTTAAATGATGTAATGCATTCTAACTATTTACGGTGGTGGTGTTACATACACCAATTAATATATTAATTAGTATACCAATATTAGTTATGATATTATTATTGACTTCACTCATTAATCACATTACAAATATCAAAAATCTCTTAAATTATGTCATATCATCAATTGTTATAGTAATTAGCATACTAATTGGTAAATATAATATTGTTCAACCATATATAATTTGTGTTATGCTAGAGACCCCAAATGATTTATTAAAGTTTTTTTAAAATCTCTTAAATAGGTGTACAACCTATACACATGTAAATTTGTGTCAATCACGCATTCATATGAAAAATTTAATAACAAATTTAATAAATTATTTGAGATTTCATAGCATTTTCCATAGGATTTGAATCCGTTGGACAATGATCCACCTGTGGATGGATATACATACACAATTGAAACATGAAAAATATTATTCATGCACATGTTATGGGTTGCATCGTTTCGGATGCACTTTATCATAAAATGTATTAATTTATGCTACACACGAAGTGAAAATTTGTGTTTTTCCAATTATAAACTATTATAAAATAAAAATAATTCACCGTGTTTATTTAAACTATGGAAAGCAATTTCTATTTAAAAAAAAAAGTTCAATAATTTTAAAATAATTATTAAAATTTTCTTGTCAAAAGAATGTTAAATTTTGTTATTGATTAGGTGAATTTGTTTATTAAGTATATTTGGTATGAGGGGGCATTGATATGACTATGATTAAATTAAGTTGAACTACATAAAAAGCGAATATGTCAACTCAACTCTAGCACAATATAATTGATTAATATAGCCATCGTAAACCCTTGATTTTTATTTTTTTAAAATTTTAAATCCACTCAATTAACCCAGTATAGATGGATTGTTATTATTATTATTTTCGGTGTCTTAGAGTGCTTTTCGATTGTGTCATTTTTAATAGTAATTTTAATTTAGATCATTAGCAAAATTCAATTGAAAATGATTTGTTTTAACAAATGCTTAGGTGTAAGCTCTAAAAAAACACGCACACATTTTTTTATTGTTCATTTTTTTATAAGTTTTTTGAAAAAAATATAAATAGGCAGAATGTTAAAAATAAATTATTCAAAAAATATTGTTTAGTTGAAAAAAAAAATGATTAGAGAAAACTAAAATGAAGCAAAATAATAAGAGGAATTTATTCATAAATCCCTATTCAACTACTTGTATTTCACTTAGTGCAAATTATTGTTTTATCTTCGAATAAATCTATATTTACATAGTTACTAAAATTCTTCTAATAATAATATTTACATTAACCGGGTGAATATTCTGTGATATGAACATTCACACTGTAAAATATGAATGTTCACATCACCAAATTGCTTCGCATTTAAAATATTTATAAGGGTAAAATTGTTCATAAAATACCTTAAATATGAGAATTAAAATTTGGTAGATCAAATGTCCAAATAATAGGATTTATTGAAAAATAATTTCCTAATAAATCTCCCAAATAAGGGGTAATTTTGTAACATTTGCACTTAAAAGAATTAATGTTAAGATAATTAGTAATGTCATTACACATGTATATGCTAAATTCATATATGCCCTGTTTGAAAAAATTCATTTCAGTTGTAATTTTATTCACTCTTTTGTTTCAGTGAGAATGTGAGTGTTTCTATGTGAATCTAATTGTGCCTATGCAGAGGAGTTTGTAGTCTTGAGACTTTCATGTTTGCCGCTTCATTGACTATGTACAGGGATCGAATTACCCGGTCAGCTCGTAGGGCTCTAGGGAGCAGCACCCCATGGAGGGTTCAAGGCAGCGCCCAAGTGAAGTTGAGGGGTAGTGCCCTCGAAGCCAAAGCGATTTGACTGCTTGAGCGGTCATTTATGCACTCGAGCAGTAAATGGCATCATCTAGTGTTTTTGCAAAGCATTTGAACTTCTAGAAAGCAAGTTTTACCACTTGAGCGGTGAATGCTGCTATAGACACCCCATTTTTGACCTCTCTTATGTTGAACACTCAATCATGATTATTACACTGTACAATCATTCAATTTCTTCAGCAAAAGGCTTCGGTTTTGCGTTTCAAAACCTAAAACCTTGCACTTTCTTCGGACCAAAACCTACTTTTTTTCTAGCCTTACCACTCAAAGGCCTGCTGGCCAACAAGTGGCCGGCAGGCCAATTTTTATTTGCCGACCATCCGTCTCCCTGGCTAGCCGGCCATGTTCAGCGCCAGACAGATATTTTACAGCCAGTTGTCTCTCTATGTGCATGCCTTGCACCAGTTGGCTCAATACAGATATTTTCGACAGGGGAACCTATTTTTTTTTATAAATACTTGACCATCCCTCATAGTTAAGGTTAGAAAATTTTTCCAAGAGCCCAAAACTTGCCAAACCTCTTCCTCTCTCTCTCTTGAAATATACATACACCATCCATACACTTCCTAAGTCAAAACTAGAGGCTTCTTGTTGAGATTATTAAACATAAATTTCAGCTCTTGAGAGTAATCACTTTGTGGTTTGTGAACTAAAAAGCATCATATCTTCAAGAGGTACAGCCTTTGCCATCTCATTTCTTGTTTACACTACTCTTTTCCTCTCGTTTTCTTGTTGTTTATACTTTGTTTTGACTGAATTTAAGTGCTGAAACTTGAGATTTAAAAGCTACCAAAGGTGAAAAGGTTAATCACCCTTTCTTAAACCTTATTCCATAGCTCATATCCTTGTTCTTCACACTTGTTCCTTTGATTTATATACTGTTTTTCAAAGTCTTCAAAGGCTAAAATATGTGATTTAAAGGTCCAAAAAGTGGAGGGGTTAGCCACCCTTCCTTAGGCTTGCTTACTAGCTTTGTTCTCTTCCATTTCTATCTATATTTTCTACTCTTTCAAACTAATTTCAGCACTATTTTGTGCTATTTAAGGGCTGTTTAGTGTGTTTATTTAGTTTATGCTTTAAATACTATGCTTCTATTGTTGTAAGTCCTCATAGATTTGGTTGTTTAGACCATAGATACCAATCTATTTGAGTCGATGCAGACACCCCATTTTTGACCGCCAATAAGACTTGGGCGCTTTATCCCGAGCACTCGATCAAAAAAGTTATGTTGTGTTGATGATTTGAATTCTCAATGAAGGAATCCGAATTCGAGCCCTAAAACCCTAACCCTTTATGCTAAAAAAATGTTTTAGACCTCAGGAATCTATTTTTTTGGAACATCATTCCAACCTACATTGAACCCATAATACGGAGGCAGAGGAGCCACATTGGGACCCTGTTGTGGCTGTTTGGAGCCCGATCGAATCTTTTGAGCGACAGACAAAGTTTGGGGCGGAAATCTGCTAGTTGTCCTTTTTTGAAGATTTTATAACCTATTTGCCTCAAATTCTATAAATACGAGGCCTCACCTCTATTTTGAGGGTTACAGAATTTTCAAACACCCTAAAAGGCATTTGAGAGCTCCTCCTCCCATTGCAAGGCATTCTTTGCTCTTGTATCACCTTTGAGTTATACTTACATATTAGATACACCATTAGAGCTTGGACTTGGATATTTTGTTGAGACTGTGACACCATATTAGATACACCATTAGAGCTTGGACTTGGATATTTTGTTGAGACTGTGACACCATAATTCAAAGGCTTGAGAGTGCTTTGGGTCAAGCTTAATTTGCAATAGTACATCCTCTTTAAAGAGGTATAACTCTTACCATCTCTTTCCTTTGTTTATACTAATCATTTTCTTCATTTTCTTTGAGTTTGTGCATTGTTGGAAGCTACTTTCAAGGGCTGAAATATGTGATTTAATTCACAAAAAGTGGAGGGGTTAGCCAACCCTCCTTAGGCTTGCTTGCCTAGCTTGTCCTCCCTTATTTTCATTTACTTCTTCCACTATTTTTGAAGTGTTTTACATACATTTTTTTTTTGGTTTTAGGAGCTATTTAATTTGCTTAATTAGTTTATGCTTTGAATATCATGTTTGTAGTGTTGTAAGTCCTTATGGATTTGGTTGTGTAGGCCTTAGACACCAATCCATTTGAGTTGATAGTCTTGTTTACTTAGTTTTAAGTAAATAATCTCACTTTTGCCATAATCAACTTCGCATAATCGTCTCTACAGGAGGGTTGGGGAGTGCCGGGGGAGGGGGGCGCGGGCGGACCCCCAAAAATTTGAAAAATATCATATATTATACTAGGAATTTTAAAATAATTTAAAATTATAGGAGTTCGCACCCCCAAAATTTTTTTAGATAATTTCAAAATTATATAGAGTAGCCTCTCCAATTTTTTAAACTATAGAGTAGCCTCC